GAGAGAGAGAGAGAGAGAGGAAGGGACAAAGAGAGGAGGAATAAGAGTCAGGCACAGCGGCACAGAGGGCAACGGGTACGTGGGATGATTGAAAAGCAGGAACAAGCCCGACAGCAAGGCATGGGCAACGCACCGACGCAGCGAAGGCAGTCTCGTACTCGATGTGGAGGTAGATGTTGCCAGCCGGATTGTCGGACGGGGGGTTAGACACACGCAACTCGGCAATTTGACCGAACTGCGAAAAGAGATCCTGCAACTCGGACTCCGATGCCAGTGGCGAGACATTGGACACGTAAAGGGTGCGCGCCAGCAGGGGGTTGGCCATCGGCAACCCGGGGACCATGACCCCCACCGCACCGGGCAGGAGCCCCGGCATCCCGGGGAGCATGCCGCCCCCCAGCGGGAGGTTGGTCATCATCGGGCCAGCCGACATGTCTGAAGTGCACGCGCGTGCGTCGGCAGAGGGGCCAAAAGGCGGCCGCATTGGGTGGTGAGTCTTCCACGGCAATGAGAGGACATGAGGAGGCAAGAGGACGACCGAGGGAGCAGGCAAGATAATACACCCAGGCCAGTAGATCATGATGATGGGCACGAGGCAGAAGGAAAAAAAAAAGGAGTCGCAGGCCACGCACTTCGGAAGGTATCAATCGAATGATGGGCCGCGGCGGTGCGCGCCTGGCGTACCGCCTCGGCAATCATGCCGGGATCGGTCAGCATATTCTCGTCAGCCATGGAAACCCGCAGGGGGACCGTCGCGCCGAAGGAAACCCCGTCCAGCGCCAGCGACGCCAGGGCCGGGGCCGGTGAATCGAACTGAATGAGGAAGGTCAGCAGCTGGATGGGCGCCGAGGAGCCAGCCACCGCGGCCAGGGCAGAGGCCGTGGCCGCGGCCGCGGCCGCCCGGTCCGTCTCGCACACCACTCGAATAATGAGCCCAAAGTGTGAGAAGAGTTCGTGCAGTCGCTCTACCGAGCTGGGCGCGACATTCTCCACACGGACGGTTGACCGCGATAGGGCCGCACCGGACAGGCGCCGGTCCACCGGCGAAGGGCTGGCCGCGTCGTCGGCCGCCGGGTCGGCGACCATCGGCGCCGCGACCGCGCCATCCGCCGCGACAAACAGCGGGGAGGACATCCTGACTGTGATTTGCTGGCTGGTTCGGGGAGGGGGAGAGAGGGAGGGGGGGTGCAGGGGGGTGCAGATAGGGTAGAGGAGCTGCGGGGCAGGCGCTGCAAGTGGAAGCACAGAAGACAGATGGGGGACGAGGGGAGGAGGAGAAGAGGAGGAGAGGAGAGAGAGGGAGTGCAAGCGGGCGCAGGACAGGCAAGGGGGGACTCGGCGCGATGCAGGGGTTGCCACAAGACCGGGCTTCGGTGCGGGGAGGGAGCTCGCCAAAAAAACTGTCCCCCCCCCCCCCGTTCCTGGAGCCGATCACTCCCGTGTACTTTGTGTGGTCCCCCCAGGCAGGGCCACCAATGTGCGGGGGTCATGCGGGGGGGGGGGACATTGGAGAAGACTGGAGTGCAGCGCAGACGGCGCGGAGGCGCTCACCGCTGACGCACACTCACGGCCGCCCATGCACACATGACACGGAGGTGCGCGCCCATTTGCATTGTCCCAAGAACGACAAGGGCGAGGCTCCTGGGGTCGCCCGACGCCGCGCGGAGTCCCCCCGGGCGCGCACTGGGCAAACCCCATCGCGCTAGAAAACCGGCGATATCCCCTTCCGGTGATCCTTCACCAGGGGGCAGACGTTCCGGAACAGCCGGCGGCAGGCAGGCCGAAATGCCGACGTGATGTGCGGGCCCCGGTAGAATGCCATTGTGTGACGACTCCTCGGGGCGTGATCAGACCCTTCGTTGGCAGCCTCCCGCCGACTCCAGAACCCTTGCTACTCGGGCCATCGCCGATGGGCCTTTGATGGCCGTGTATGTGCGTGTCTCCGTCGTCCGGCCCCGGCGCGGGAGAGAGAGAGAGAGAGAGAGAGGCCGGGGGCCGGCGCCTTTTCCCCTAGTCCCTCGAATAATGGCGCACGGAGGAAGAGCATGAAAAGAGGACAACCGCTGGTGCTTGGGGAACTGCCGATCGGGAAACCACCTCTGTTGGTCCTCCCCCTCCTGTCAGCTCGCGCCCATCGCACGTGCACTGGTGTCGGTGTGACACGCGAGAACCGGGGGGTGGGAAATCCATTTGTGTATTATCGTTGTTGCTGTTTGCGGAAGAAGCGGGGGGAGAAGGGAGGAAAGAGAAGAGAAAGAAGCATGCCAGCGTCATTTTGCACCAGCGGGAAGAGGGGGGGAGGGAGAGAAAGGAGATGAGCAAGTGCGCGCAGCACAAGTTGATACGCCTCTTTTTCCCGGGGAAGAAGATGAGAGCGCACTCTTCGTCGGTGACGCTGACGGAGGGGGCGCGGCCGGCAGCACAGGCAGGGGCAGAGGTCCCCGAGATGATGATGCCGCCGTCATCACCACCACCAGCAGCAGCAGCAGCAGCAGCGGCGGCGGCGGCGGTGGCAGCACTGCTTGAGGAGACATCCTTCCCTCGCATGTCCCCCCCCCCCCCTCCCTCTCCCCCGTCCGGCCGCCTGCCCGAGAGAGAAAGGCGGGGACAGGGAGGTAGAGCATGGGAGAAGCGCCGCCCGAGGGGCGGGAGCCAAACCAGGAGCATGTGAAAAGGAGAGCACAAGTCTCCCCCTCTCCTTAGGCGATCAGGCGGGCGATGAACTCGGCCGTCGGGTGGTCCGGCGCGCGGACGGTGATCTGCATGACGATGGCCGGGATGCCGGTGGGCGAAGAGTCGGCCGACACGCGGACCAGCCGCACGCGGATCAGGCAGGGCGGCTGGCGGCCAAGCAGGCGGCCAGACAGCAGGAGCGTGTGGGTGTGGGCCTCCTCGCCGGTGTCCGGGCTGGACAGGACCGTCTCCGACCCGTCGGACGCCCGCATGCCGAGCAGGCCGATCACCGACCGGACCAGAGCCTGCAGGGGGGCCTGCTCGGCGGACACCGGCAGGGTGTAGGTCTCGGAGAACTCGGTGTTCTTGTTGAAAAGGGACCACGCGTCACGGAAGGAGGCCTGTGCCAGAGAAGGTGGCGCCGGCCCGGAAGCGATCATGTTGTCGGCAAGGGTGATCTCCACCGGCTCGAGCTGTGTCGCCATGCATGGCGATGCGGGCAATGCCCCAACGGGCAGGGTTTACACGGAGGGGCAAGGGGGTGAGGAAAGGGCTGAGAAAGTGCAGGGCCGCGAAAGAGAGGGAGAGAGAGAGAGAGGGAGGGAGGGAGAGGGAGGGAGGGAG